TAGGCGGCTGGGCTTATTAACCGTGGGCTTAATAGCCGGCGACTACTGTAACCCGATCCCATAAATGAGACTGACCGTTGGGCATTGTACTGAAATTGACGCATGACTGTCGGAATTGGTGAGGTTACCTCACCACTCCCGTAAGAGGCCGGACTAACAAAAATCAAGATGTCAAATTCAATGGGATACATGCGAGCCAGCAACAGGTCGCGGGGAGAAGTCGAACCGCAGTACATCCAAGCATTGTCAACGAGAGCTTTCTGAATTTCACCATGTTTTAAAGGAAGTTAGGATTACTTGTATGGCCGCCGAGCCAGAACACGGGAATAGGAACGCCCCGCCCACTTAACAGTAGGTGGCCTTTTGGTAAATTTCAGGAGAGGTAAATATTTCCCTATCTTAACCCCAAAACTAACATAAAAATAGACTTTAACTCTAATCTTATTCATAGCCCTACCTTAACACTTTGACTGCGACTCTCAAAATAGTCTGTTTGCCCCCTGGGGCGGCGTTTTTTAAACCTGCATTACTTTAGGCCTAGACGCGTACCATATATGGCGCACGTCGCAGTTTGGGACATTACTGCATGTACCACATATGGCGCACGTCGCAGTCAAAGTGTTAAAGTAAACCCTACAGTTAACACGAACCCAAACCTCAACTTTAAACATAATCCTGACCCTATTCCCAACTCTGACCTTAACTCCAAACCTAAACCTGAACCTAAGCTACTTTCCTTCGAATTAGGTGCAAAGCCGCATGGATTGTGGACGGTTCCTATTCTCGTGTCCTATTAAGGCGGCGATACAAGTCATTCTTACCTAAAAACCTCAAGAACCTCACTAACCTGTGCTACTTGCTGACTACTGTTGGAGCATCTACTAAATACTTGTCAAAGATGCACATTATAGGACCAGGATTTTAACAGTTTAAGCAAATTAGTCTTATTTGATCCGGTTGTGGGAGTGTGAAAGGAGGAGAGACCATTTTGTCTGCTCAAAATAATCTATGAACTACTCGAAACTTTTGACGGCCCCCGTTCACTCCTACTTATTGTTCTTCAATCTGTATCACTGACTTCCCGGCCTTTTAAACTTGGTATAACCAGGGGATTCGACTAGCGTTACCTGATGCGCTCACGGCGCAGCGGGCGTTTACGTCCCAATCAGTTGGACCGAGGCAGAGCCGTCAAAAAATCAATAAATTTCCACGCCGCATATGCGACCAGTCGGTTGTCTGAACTGCGGCTCTACTTCACGTCGTAATGCGA